AACTCAAATAAAAGTATAATTTACACATAATAGAACTTGAACCAATTTTTTAAAAAACAATTATTATTTAGTGAAGAAATATAAAAATATTACTTCGGGATATTATTTTTATAATATTTTAGTATATATGTTCGGTTCGGGTCGGGATTTTCGGTATGAGACATAACCTTGTACTGTTCCCAAATACCGTATCGACCATTCGGTTTGGTACGGTTCGGTTTCTTTTCGTTACTTTTTTGGTTCGGTATTCTCGTTTTTTTCGAGAAATTTCGGGATCGGTTCGGTACTTACTCATCCCTAGTGGATATTATTGCAATATCACGTGTCTTCATCAACATATATGCAAAGGATGGCATCGCCCTCTTCCTGTTTCGTTTTTCTGTTGATTGAATATGAAGTTCAGAACCCTCCTCTTCGTCTTCATAATTATACTTGCATTTCTAGCACAGTCTTCTTATCCTGCTGCTCCATACTGGAAACCTCAACTGCCATGCCAGCCGCCGCACCATGACTCCTACGCATTCTGCAACACTTCGCTCGGCATACCCGCCAGAGTTCATTCCCTGCTCTCTTTCCTCACCCTAGATGACAAAATCCAACGCCTCTCCAACAACAACTCCGCCATCCCTCGGCTGGGGATCCCCGCCTACGAGTGGTGGTCCGAGTCCCTCCACGGCGTCGCCACCAATGGGCCCGGGGTCACCTTTGACGGCGCCGTGAAATCTGCTACCGTATTCCCGCAGGTCATCCTCGCAGCTTCCACCTTCAATCGCACTCTGTGGCGCTCGATTGCCGCCGCCACAGCTGTGGAGGCCCTGGCTATGTACAATTCGGGTCAAGCAGGGTTGACTTTCTGGGCTCCGAATGTGAACGTCTTTGTGGATCCGAGATGGGGAAGAGGGCAAGAGACTCCCGGAGAGGATCCGATGGTGGTTTCTGATTATGCAGTGGAGTATGTTAGGGGGTTTCAAGGCCTGAGGAATTCCAAGGGTAAAAATGGCGAAGAGCATTCTCATGGTGGGAATGGAGAAGAAGATAAAGGGGATGGCAGGTTGATGTTGTCCGCATGTTGTAAGCATTTAACTGCTTATAACTTGGAGAAATGGCATGACTTTGCCAGATATAACTTCAATGCTGTGGTAAAGATACTCTTTTAAACTGCTGCTACATGTCTTAATAAGCTTGTCCATCTTACTAAGAGAAGAGAGTGTTTCTCTGTGCTCGTGTTTATTTGTTTATTGTTGATAAACAGTTTGCGTATTGCTAGCTTTGAATGTACTCTATATGTCTGATCCGTCACCCTTAATTGGGAATGAGTTCTGCTTGTTATTTAATGTATAATAACTAGTCCCTTATGAGGGAGGGAAAAATAGAAATCTTGCAGAAAAAGAATAAGTAATTCATACAAAGAAACTTGCAAGTCATAAATAAATTTCTCGAAATGGGCAGAGTTAGCAAATGGAAAAGGGGAAAATGATTCAATCAAAGATTGTAACAACTGTATTTCAGTAAATACCGGAAAATTTGATATGCTACACTTGCTGGTGTCTTTTGCATAGGAAGTGATTTCTTACGAGTGGATCATCCCGATTCTTTGTGCCCTGCTTTGCTACCACACAAATGCATCATAATAATTTTATGTGAAGTTGTACTCTCTCGGTCTCATGAAAATAGTCCACTTTTGATGACTGGACATCTATTTTATTTTAGTAAAGTACAACTATTGTGAATTATTAAATACTCCATATAGAGTAGTCCACGAAATTTAATACATTCCACTTATTTTTTTTTTCATTTTTTTGGTAAAAAAATGTTAAACATATTGAAAATTGGCTTCTTTTTTTCAAATTGGACAGTTTTTCGAAAATTAATGTTAATACGGAGTATGAATCAATACTTTTAAAAAATGACACTCTTCAAGTGAAGTTATAAATGCAACTTATTTTCAAAAACAGTATTACTGTAGACATTTTAGTTCAAAACTATTGATACTTGTTCCAAAGGGAGTATTAAACAATGTAATGCCAGAAATCCTCTTCAAAGTAATCAAGTTACAGCAAAACAATCAGGAAAGTTGACAAAGTACAGTAATATGTATTCAATTGAAAACTAATGCATGTTTCAAATATATTTGCTAAAAGGTATTACAATTTGGTAATTGAAATGAAAAGTATTTTATTTTGTTAAAGAGTATGACATATATGATGGATTGTAATAAACTGTACAACAACCATTGCTCCTCTTTTCTACATATCAAAGTATTACTTATTTGTGTAGAGGCATTACTTTTTCGTAGGCAATGGGTTTAAAAGTATTATAATATGACTAGAAAGTACTACGTTTTAGCTAAATAAAAAATTACTTTTTCATTTAATTTCTTTAGATGTTAAAGCCACTATTGATATTGACTTTGCATTGCTAAAACTTTATGCTTACTGCATTATTTGATTGAAGTAGTCTGTGTTCTTTAACTTCCTTCTGTCACAGAATTTTAACTAAGTTTAGTTTATTTTGTTAACTATTTGCGTCATTATGTTAAGAGTTCTTGACTTCTTGTATTTCATTTAGGTGTTCCCATTTAATGAAGCACAAGTTTAAGAGTAGTGATTGTGGGTGGGTTGGTATAGAGTAGAGAAAGATGGTGAAAAGGTAAAGAGAAAAATTTAAGAGAAGTGGGTCTTGTGGGGTTCGAAAAGGGAGAGAGTGAAGAAGCATCACGGAGATAGTATTTTAATAGTTGGGCGCATTCCAAACTAGAAAATGAGAAACACTAAATTTGCCAATTTAAAACAACTCAAAACAGAAATTGGGATCACTAATATAAAACGAAGGGAGTACTTTTAAATTACGGGCTTACTGTTCAAGATAACAAGATCTGTTTCTGAACCCAGCCAGTTTTAGTTCTATGTCAACTTCTAAGTAGTAGAATATTCACTTCCTAATCATGGTAGACAAGGACCAATAGCTTTACCCACATAAAAAAACTTGATGATTATTTTGTTATGCATTAAGGTGACAAGGCAAGATATGGAGGACACGTATCAGCCACCTTTTCAAAGCTGTATTCAGAAGGGTAGCGCAAGTTGTTTGATGTGTGCATATAATTCAGTAAATGGGATACCAGCTTGTGCGAATAAGGTTCTCTTAGAGAAGGCTCGAACAGATTGGGGTTTCAAAGGGTAACAGTTTCTTTTTCCCATGTTAAAAAGACTTAACCAAAATATTCACCAAAGCATCTTATGTGACCTCTGTTCTCATTCATATAGATACGTTGCCTCTGACTGTGATGCTGTTGCCACCATATATGAATATCAGCATCACGTGAAAACTCCTGAAGAAGCAGTTGCAATTGCTCTTAAAGCAGGTCATCCTCATTTTACTGGTCTTGTTCTATTGTATTGCCAGTATTTCTAATGAAAGATTTTTGATAGGAGTCGATATAAATTGTGGAACATACATGTTGAGACATATGAAATCTGCACTGAAGGATGGGCTTGTGGTAAAAAACGATCTAGATAGAGCCATTTTTAATCTGTTTTCGGTGCAATTTCGGCTTGGACTTTTTGACGGAAGTGCTGGGAGAAGGCAGTTTTCAATGTTTGGTCCCCAAGACGTGTGCAGTTCTGAGCACAGAAGATTGACACTTGATGCAGCAAGGCAAGGTATTGTGCTTCTTAAAAATGAGCAGAAGTTTTTGCCTTTGGATAAGACTCGTGTCTCTTCACTTGCTGTTATTGGTCCCATGGCTAACACAAGCAGTCTTGGTGGTGATTACACAGGTACGCAGGCCTCTCAAATCTAAGAGTTACACCTCATAAATGTGGTCCCCATAAGAAAGTAATTGCTCATAAAAACATAAATGCTTGCTTTTGAATGGCATGGATGTATTTGTGCAAGTTTTTTCCATCTATTTTTTTAATGGTTACCAGTATGAAGCTCTCACGCACAAGAATGTTGTAAATTGTAATACACCATTTGATTTTTTTTTGTCTTAAATATGTTTATCCATTGTCTTAGTTATGGACTAAATCAAAATGACACATTAAACATCACTCCCTTATTACTGTCTATGTAGTCTTGGGCAGTAGATGCATCAAGGGTCTAATGGAGAAACCTCTATTTTTTAAAGGTAGGGTTGCGGTACCCCCCTCACCCCCAAAAGATCCAAACAAAGTTAGGATAATACTAGGTTTGTTGTCAGGTCATTCATCCTTACTAGAAATCAATTTTTTTTGTTTGAGGTCTCTGTAGAATTAGATTTTGATATTCAACAAGAACAACAAAGAACATATATATATAACAAAAAGAAAAAAAACACAGTATAATCTCAACTCTTGGGTCCATATGTAGTAATGTAGGCAATCTTACCCCTTCAAAAAAGAGGCATTTCCCGCTATTCTTCCCTCTATTTTACCACATTTTCTTTTTAGTCTCTTTCAACATTTCTAGGGTGTTTGAATATGCATTGTGTCTTTGTCTGAATGAAAATTCCATTCTGTAGGAAGCTACTTGAGTTACATGAGTCTTCTTTGCTTTTTAGCAACATATGTGGACTTCCTGCATGTTGAGCTTTAAAAAAATACTCCCTCCGTCCTAATTCTTTCTTCCCAGTTTGACTTTTCCCCATTTTTAATTTTTGGCTTGACTTCAAATTTTACCCTCCTTAAAAAAGATTTTTTGAAAACTTTTTTTTGCAATCATTCAAAATATAGAGTTAGAAGATAATTGGTGTAAATACATGAGGGTATTAATGTCATTTGTCATCTTTTTTTTTCTAATGGGAAGGTAGTTTTAGGACGGAGAAAAAAGGGGAAGTGGGAAGAAAGTTTTAGGACAGAGGGAGTACTTGTCAAGCTCTGATGGAATAATGTAATTCACGTAAGTTTCTTTAAACTGAGGTTGATTGGGAAGGATCAAATATAAGTTGTGGTAAATTACTGGGATGAGTAGCAAAAATATGATTTGATCAGGACTTAACACTGTTAAATGTGCATGGATTAAAAACTTATTTTAACTTTTTTTTCCATATCTAGATTAGTTTCACTGTTTTTGCTGAGACAGGCCAGAGACAGGCCCTTGAAACACGCCTAAATTTCTCGTCTATGTAGTTGGCCTCTTTAAGGTGGGCAGTTTTAACCCAAAACAAACTAGTGAATTTTGATAAATAATGAGGGCCCGTTTGGTGAGTTTTGGAGGTTTGATATGATATGAGTTCTGAAATCTAGAAGAAATAATATGGGTTTGAAATGAAAGTTGTTCGCAGCCACATACAGCGTGAAGGAGGTATCAAATCCACGGATTGATATCTCCCAATCAAAACACCCTATTTGGGAGGAAATTTAGCTTTGATACCATGTTGGAATTTCGGTGCGCCAGGTGAATCAGGTGGAGTGTTGGGTGATATTTGATCACTTTTCCATATAAAGTCTAGATCCACTTTCTAACCAAAAGCCTTAAGCCAATGGGTAGTGCTTCACCTTTCTTTATATGGGGGTAGAATTTGTTTAATTTTTCTGGTGTGGGATAAACCCAACACGCGGTCCCCAACACCCCTCCCCTCAAGTGGTAACTAGCCTATTCTACCTACTACTTCGATGAATGGGTCTAGCATTTCAATCTCTTTATAGCTAGTCCTGAGGCCGATACTAGGATGAACCGAACCCGAATCAAACTTGGCTCTCATACCATGTTGGATTCTATTGATGCACAGAGAAGAACCAAAGATGAACGAGGAAGACAAAATGTGGAAAGGGGAAAATTCTCTATTATTCAATCAAGGACTTAGTTACAAGGGTATATAAATGAGAAAGCAAAACGTTAGAAACTTAACAAGAAAAATATATAGCCAACTAACTTCTAACAGGGAGTGTTGTGATATCTAGACATATCATATCTGAAACCTCTTTAAGCCTCACCATACACCTATAAACGGGTCCTGAGTCTTGGTAGCATGCTGACAGTTTCATGGTTTGCAGGAGTACCGTGCTCCCTGAAAAGTATTCTTGATGGGTTCAGAGAATATATACAAAATATGTTCTATGCTACTGGCTGCTTTGACATTGTTTGCAACTCTACTGAGGGTTTTGCTCAAGCTGTGTCTGTTGCTAAGCAAGCTGATTATGTCATTGTTGTAGCTGGATTGGATTTATCCCAAGAAACTGAAGATCGTGACCGGCATAGTCTTCTATTGCCAGGAAATCAAATGACACTGATTAACAAGGTAGCCAGTGCCTGTAAAAAACCTCTAGTTTTGGTCCTTACAGGTGGTGGACCCCTTGATATCTCATTCGCTAAGGATGACCCCAGGATTTCTGGCGTTCTATGGATTGGGTACCCAGGAGAGGAAGGTAGTAAAGCATTGTCAGAAATTATTTTTGGAGACCACAACCCAGGTTGGTATGCTTCCATATGATTTATTGTCCTTTTATTTGTGTATCTGTCGCAGCGGCATGCTTACTATTTGTTGTCGTAAATTCTAATCCATCTTCTTCAATGGAGCCAAATATTTACAATTATTTGGCTTTGGAGTAAGATGGAATAAAGCAAAGTGGTTCTTAAACTAGTTGTGCTTCTTTTCATAGTGGAGTAAAAGTTAGTCAATGCAATGTTCAACATTGACCCTTGGGCATCTGGAAACAGGCGCTCTATGTTGTAACATAGGGGTCAATTGCGTACATCCAACCCCCCACCCCCAGCCCGCAATGGGTGGGAGCTTTTGAGGCACTGGTGTAATGTTGTTCTTGTTGTCCCATGAAAAGAATCCTTAATCACCAAGGTACAATTGTTTTTGCTTGGCCTACCTTTTTCTAATAAAAAAATATTTGATATCATAAAAATGTCTTCAAACAAAAGTTTTTTTTTGCGAGAGATATAGAACTCCATATAGGACACTTTTCTTTGAACTGGGGGAGTATTCTTTTCTCTTTTTCTCCAAGGGATATGTTTTTTTTCCACTTTTTCTTAAGAAGAGGGAGGATTCATTTTAGCTTACTTTCTTTAATTCTTTTTCTAAATAAATAGTCATGTCACTTATTTTATAGTTTATACTCCTTTCGTCTCAAATTAAACTTCATGTTTGCATTTTTCATGGAGTTTAAGAAAGGGTGAAACGGTGTGATTTAAAGTTATGCACTGAGAAAACAATGTGAGCCTTTTAATGTTTTCCTTAAAACGAATGTGATATTTTTTTTCTTTTTCGGACGACCCAAAAAGGATAGTTGGAATTTTATTTTTGGGACAGAGTGAGTACTCCCTCCAAGTTTAGGATATGGGGTGTTGGCACCCAAAATTAAAAAGAAAAATGGAATTGTGTGGTTGATATTGAAGATGTAAAGAATGGGTAAAGATAGGATGATTCTGGGCCTCTCAAATATAATAACTATGAAACGAGACAATGATACTAAGGACAAAATGGTAAAAAAGGACAAAGATAGTAGGGACTTAGAGCGTATAAGTTTTAATATAGTTTATTAGTTTTAAATTATGTAAATTAATGGGATGGAGGAGGGTTGAAGTGGATGCAGTTCTAGTTGGATTTTGGTTCTAAGCTTAGTTTCTTATATCTAATCAAAAATAGAAATTGGACTTTAAGCTTCCCGTTGATTCAAAATTGATTATGCTCTGTGATTGCGGCATCTGAATAATCTATAATTTGCTTTCAGTGAGATGATCTTACATTGTAACTTATAGTGTTTCCAACATGAACAGCTGGGAGACTGCCTGTCACTTGGTATCCCGAGTCATTCAGTAATGTCCCAATGAATGACATGAGCATGAGGGCAGTTCCCTCCCGTGGTTATCCTGGAAGAACGTATCGGTTTTACACAGGGGACACAGTTTACAAATTCGGACATGGACTAAGCTATACAAATTTTACTCTTGAGTTCTTATCAGCACCTAGCAGATTAAGACTCTCTACTAGATCTAGCGTGACGAAATTTAGGAGCATTCTCAACTTGAGGGGCAATGAACCCCATTTTGTTCTTGTTGATGAAGTCTTAAACTGTGAGTTGTTAAGTTTCTCAGTGAAGATTTCTTTGACGAATGATGGAGGCATGGATGGAAGCTGTGTCGTGATGTTATTTTCTCGAGTGTCGTCTCGCGTTATTGAAGGAACTCCGCAGAAACAGTTGATTGGATTTGATCGAGTCCATGTCTCTGCAAACGAGACTGCTGAAACAAGCATCTTTATCAACCCTTGCGAGCATCTCAGCTTTGGGAATGAGGAAGGGAAGAGAATACTGCCCTTGGGTGACCATACCCTTATCTTAGAAGGGATAGAGCATGTCATTTCCATTGAGATATGATATGATTAAGAAGAAATGTTGGTGAATGAATCTTCACCTCTTAATTTTTCTGTTTTCCATTTGAAAACTGCATTTTTATATATGCGTGATGACTATGCTAACTAGCGGAAAAAACTCCTAATGTTGGTCTGGCAGGTTAAGAAAACTGGAGTCGGATTCAAATTTGGAACATGGCCTAAACCTACGAACTCAAAAAAGGATGATGATGGACCTCTGGGCGCCAAGGAGATCCTCCCAAACAACCAACCCTATGAACCTCCCATGGCAACTCCAACTACTGTTACACTGTGTAAACCATACTCTTTACACCAAAGCTTTGAGTAACATAACTGTATGAATTATTCCTGGGGTACCACTTTTGACACCAACTAACTTACAGACATGCATAGACACGAAATAATGCCAAATGTTGTAATGTCTGCAAGAAGCTTAGTGTCAAAAGTGGTGTATAAATAGGTTTGTGAAAGTACGGACCTTTGGCAGGAGTGCATTGATTGCTACTTGAAGTCTTGGGTTTTTAGATCTTTTTGTTGACTTTTTTTTGTGTCAATCTTTTTGTTCTTGATAATATGCTTGCAATAAACGCATTTGAAAGGAGCTCAAAAGCTGGTTTTTAAATAATTTTTTCTTTTCTATTTTTCTTAAAAAAGAAGCACTTAATCGATCCTTAAGGAACCGTTTAGCCGAAAACTTTGGAGCTAAACTTTGGTTAGTATCTTTTTAAGCTATATAAATAGAGTACCTGCTACCTTGACTCCAAAAATATAAACCCCACCTTTAACTCTACTCTTAAAAACTTTGCAGACATTACAGACACAGGACAATGTCGGATGTCTGTGCATCTGTGTAAGGTTTGTAAATGAGTGGAGTTAAAAGTGGAGTTTATATTTTGGGATTAATATAGCATTTTTCATATAGCACCGGCAATGGCGATAATCCAGGTGAGTAGCATCAAGACCATTGCATCAATGGGGAAGAACCCCTAGTTTGGTCGGCCACGAACATTGTGTCCATGGATGAGGAAATCCTAGTTGTATTTGGCACTAGTCTAGATCGGGTCTTCCAGGGAGAAGAAAAAACGTTGTGCTCCTCTAATAGGCGTTTCACCTACTAATTGGACAGGTATGAATGTTACGTGCTTGAAAACGCACTACTTTATTTGAGAGTAAACACTACATTGTTTCATACTTTATTTGAGAGTAAACACTACATTGTTACAGAATGAAAATTAAATTATTTGTAAATGAATATTATAATTGTAATGAATAAATATATGAAAATGGACACTATGTTTCAGAATGAACATCACGTTTTCTAAATATGACCTTTTGCAACTAAAGTAGGAATAAAGTGGAGGTTAATAATTTGACTGGTTCAAAGCATCTAATTCGATTGTTAAGGTGGGGTAGTGATCAAAATCATTTAGAAAAAAAAATTGTTGAGAAACAGAAGGGATTTTTGCAGAAAGTTGTGGTTCAAGTTGTGTGAGACTAGTTAAAATGAGGACATTTCAAGGTTCAAGTCTGGAGGCATTTGTTGGGTTCATGTTTACATACAACTTTCACCCTTATTTCTGTGCATAAGAGTCCATTTATGTGTGTAAATTTTGATTATTAAGGATAAATCTATCCAAAGTGGAATTCGAGCACTTAGAGTATTTTTAAGAAAAAAAATTAACACTTTAACAACCAAAATTCTAAATTGATTATTTTTGGGACAATATTTAAAGTGTGTACTCCCTCCGTCCCATTTTATATTGTCCGTTTTGACTTTAAAGCATATTTAAGGAAGAGAAAAAATGGTGTTGATTTTTTAAAAATGTTGGGATTTTAAGCGCGTAAGATACCGAAAAATATTGAGAAGCTCAGAAAAATGAGAGAACAAACGCAAGAAGAATATATGAGAAAAAAAAATTATATTTCCACTATTTCAGGACAATATACAAAAAACTCTCCCTATTTACAAGTGCTATATACCAGACAATTATAAAGTCTTTTCACACCCTACACCCGGATGTATTTTTCTGAGTAACTAAAACCAATTACTTTCTACACTCACTCACACAATTTTGGTGATAACTTGTGTAGCACTTTTTTTTGTTTCTCTCTCTAAAAACCACAAAATCATGCATGGCAGGATCTCCATCTTTTGTAACCAAAAAAGAATCATCCAACCCAAGAGAAAGTCAACAAAAGCATGCTAGGTGATAAATGATCACCAATCTAGCCCAAAGAAAGATCTTCAAAATCAAAAAATATTAGATTTTCTTTTTTTTCTTTTCTTTTGATTAATTAATCAAATATCCTAACAAACTCCACCTTGATTAATTAATCAAACCATGGTCCGGCTCCACCTCGCTCGTTCCGGCAAGGTCACAGTCCCCACCAACCTGAGAAGCTTCAAACGTCACCCGCTTCTTCCTTGCAAATGCTCCGCTTGCTGCACTTGTAATTTTTCCTTCAGATAGCTTTCGTGTCAAATCTTTTCTTACACGTTTATACAAGCCCTTTGACAAAACTCCTTTTGCTACCACCATTGCTCCCCTTGAAATTTTTAACACTCCACCTTGAGCGAAAATTCGACAGCCTTCTGAATCTAAAGCCCCCAATGAAATCAAATTTTCTTTTAGACCCGGTACATGTTTCACTCCAGTTAATGTTCTCACCACGCCATCAAACATGCGAACTTGCACTGTTCCGACCCCTGCAATCTTGCTTCGTGCACCATTTGTCATCTTCACAGCACCCCCATCACAAGTTTGATACGTATCAAATTGTTCCTTAACTGAACACATGTGAAACGAACAACCCGAATCTAATATCCAATTCGATTTACCTAGACTCTTTGCGGTTGCCAAAAACAAGTCTTCTTCACTTGCTTTGTTCGAACTTTCTGCAACCGCAGTCACAGGTATTTTCCCGTCCTTCTTTTCCTTCCTCCTCTTTGGACAATCCCTTTTGAAATGACTCTCTTCATCGTAATAGTAACACCGAAAGCTTTTACTACTCGATTTTAAACATTGGGACACGCCGCCTCTCTCTTTAGACCGTCCTCGTCCCCGACCAGCCCCTTTCGCTACCAAAGCTTGACCGTCATTTGATACTCCGTTGCCACCCCGCCGAGTCTCGTTCATCAACAATGCAGTAACTACTTCATCAAATTTTAAGGTCTCTTTTCCAAATAAGAGCGTGGTCACGATGTTGTCAAAAGATGAAGGCAATGAAGCCAACAAAAACAACGTCTTGTCCTCCTCTTCAATCTTCAAAACAATGGAATCCAACTATGTTGTAATCTTGTTGAATTCATCCAAGTGTCCATTAAAGTTAGCTTCCTCCGCCATTTGGAGACCAAACAATTGTTTCTTCAAGTATAGCCTACTTGTCAACAATTTCGACTTGTACTGACTCTCCAGCTTGTCCCAAATATCCACCGGGTCCGTCAAACTAAGAACCTCCCGGAGAGTATTATTTGCAAGGCATAGGCATATTGTACTTGTTACCATGTCCTTCAAATCCTCCCACTTTTCTTCCGACAATTTTTCTGGTTTGTCGTTCTTCCGGTGTTTGGCCCACTCAGCATCCGTCATTTTTTCTGTCCTCTGAACCTTCACCTTCAGAGCTTTGATTGTCCCTTCCCGGGTAAGAACACTTTTTACTCGTTGTTGCCACAAAGTAAAATCTCCACGTCCATCAAAAGGTTCGACGAAAACATTCGAACTTTTTACCGATGCCATTTTTCAAGTTCTTCGATTTTCTTTACTTACCGTTTAGAAATCCCTCCGCCCCAAATGTAACCTGGCTCTGATACCAATTGTTGGGATTTTAAGCGCGTAAGATACCGAAAAATATTGAGAACCTCAGAAAAATGAGAGAACAAACGCAAGAAGAATATATGAGAAAAAAAATTATATTTCCACTATTTCAGGACAATATACAAAAAACTCTCCCTGTTTACAAGTACTAAATACCAGACAATTATAAACAGTCTTTTCACACCCTACACCCGGATGTATTTTTCTGAGTAACTAAAACCAGTTACTCTCTACACTTATTCACACAATTTTGGTGATATCTTGTGTAGCACTTTTTTTTTGTTTCTCTCTCTAAAAACCACAAAACCATGCATGGCAGGATCTCCATCTTTTATAAGCAAAAGAGAATCATCCAACCCACGAGAAAGTAAACAAAAGCATGCTAAGTGATAAATGATCACCCATCTAGCCTATAGAAAGATCTCCAAAATAAAAAAATATTAGATTTTCTTTTTTTTTTCTTTTCTTTTGATTAATCAATCAAATATCCCAACAAAAACTGTCTTACTTTTTTTACGGGGGTGATGATGAATAAGAAGATAAAGTGGAGATGAGTGACTTATTTTATGGGTAGTTTAGGTATTTTATCCATAAAATTTTATTATTAAAAGAAACATGCAACTTATTTTAGAACAGACAAAAAAGGAAAACAAACAATTTAAAATGGGACGGAAGGAGTATTATTTTGGAAGAGGGGAGTAAATGGGCTGGAGTTTAATTGAAGCCCAATGGAGTTAAAGGAATAGGCTTGGTCCACTCTCTCCCTTGTGATTTGCGCAGACTAAGGATCGGGGAAAAGGAAATTATCACATACGAGGGTTTCTGATACACCCAATGACGGCAGCAAAGGGGAGGAGCAGACTCCAGTCGTGAACAACGAAGGCAGGCTTGCATGGGACGACGACGAGGCACCAGGGACAGCAACGGAAGGGGACGACAGGAGCGGAGAGCTACAAGAGGGGACGTCGAGTCCGAATGGCCCCGGCATGGCAAAAGGATTATTTACTTAATTAATTTACATTTATCATTATTTACATTTATTTTTATTCGTGTAATAGTTTTTTTTAGGTGAGCGAAATAAGCTCCTTCGAGGGTTTCTTTACGGTTCTTTGCCTTGTCGTTTTTTTTTGAACCGTCAGGGTAGAAAACGTAGTAATTAGGAATTAATTGGAATTAGGGTTTCTCTAAAGTACTATTTATTGATGTAATCATTGGTTGGAAGGAGGAAGAGGAAAAACCCTACTCTTCTCTTGGTGTGCGGCTACTGCCGAATCCCTTTCTCTTTCTCTTCTCTCATCTCTTTTCTGGAGCTTGAAGACACTCGAAGTCTTCCTACCCGATACACATCTGTATCATTGTGCTTTCATTGAGAAGATACCCACCATGGCAGAGGAGTCATCAACTACGGGGGAACTTGAAACCAGGGTGGGCGAGTTGGGCAACTCGATGGTCCAGATGCAGCGAGATTTGGAGTTCCGATTTACTCGTCTCGATGCAGCCCTCACGACGATCCAAGCAAACCTCACGGCTTTACAGACCAGGGCGGGCAACAGGGAAGGCCGCCAGTTTGATCGCCACGAGCCGCCACGGCAGGGAACACCCAAACCGAAGTTGGAGCCGCCCAAAAGTGACGGATCAGAACCCCTACGGTGGTTATATCAAGTCAAGGAGTACTTCTCCTACTACGAAACACCACCCGAGGAACGACTACGGTGTGTTACTCTCATGTTAGAAGGTCCAGCGGCAGATTGGTTCCGGTGGAGGATGAACAATGGTCTCATCAACGACTGGGAGGATTTCTTGACGAAGTTTAAGCTTCGATTCGACCCGATGCATTACGTTGATTATTTGGCTCAACTATCACGAGTACGGCAGATTGGGGGTGTTATGGACTACCAGGCAGCTTTTGAGAGAATCCTCACCCATGTGACCGACGTGCCGGAGCCGCACCTGCAATCTTTGTTTCACGCCGGGATCAAATCTCACTTGCAACACGAGATAAGCCTCTTGAAACCTGTAACCTTGTCGGAGTCATTCGCCATGGCTCGAGAATTGGAAGCGAAGCACAACGCCATAGTACAATCGGTGAGCAACCGGGGAGGATCCGTTAACCCTAGTGGCAGCCGCGGTTTCCTTCCAGTAGGGCGTACGTCACAGGGCGGGAGTGTCAACAACGCTGCCAAACCATCCATACTGGGCAGCGGTCCTACGTCAAGTACTCACAGCCGGGAATCTACTGCTTCTACTCCGATTCGCTTACTCACACGAGCGGAGAAATTAGAAAAAGACGCCAAGGGACTTTGCTACAATTGTGACAAAAAATGGAGCCGAGACCATAAATGCGGTCGCTTTGTGTTGATGATGGGCGAAGAAGAAGAAGAGGTGACGGACAAGCCAACCGAAGACGTCGAGGTCACGGCCGATATCTCAAGCTTGCATAGCATGGCCGGCGTGACCACCCCGCGATCCTTACGATTAACGGGACACATGGCGAGAGGTTCGGTTGAAGTGCTGATCGACGGGGGAAGCACCCACAACTTTGTGCACCCGCAGGTCGTGGAGAGGATGGGGCTAGCCGTGGAGACAGTGCCGCCTTTCCAAGTCTACGTGGGGAATGGCGACTCCCTCCACTGTGATCAACAATGCAAGACCGTGGCAGTAACTCTCCAAGGGACGGAATTCGTGGTCGACTTATACATATTAAGAATCCACGGACATGATGTGGTATTAGGAGTCCAATGGTTACGACTGCTTGGGCGGATTCTACATGACTACGATAAAGTCACCATGGAATTCAAATGGCGTGACCAGCCTGTTACCCTACGTGGGGATACACCTGTGCCCAGGCCACTCTCTTTGCACCACCTACGGTCCTTACAGGGGAGACATGAGTTGGAGATTTGTGTAGAAATTCTACTCATCCAAGACAGTACACTGGAGAAGGACATCTCCGAGGGAAAAGGCCCGCCACTGCCACCGATTATTGAGCAGATTCTGGCCGAATACCAGGGGGTATTCACGGAGCCTAGCGGGCTCCCACCCAGGCGCGAGGCAGACCACCAGATCTTTCTACTGCCAGGCACTAAACCGGTGAACGTCCGACCCTACCGGTACCCCCATTTTCAAAAGACGGAAATTGAGAAACAAGTGAAGCAAATGTTGGAGCAGGAGATAATACGCCCCAGCCGCATCCCCTTCTCCTCGCCAGTGCTTCTAGTACGGAAAAAAGATGGCACGTATCGGTTTTGTGTTAACTATCGGGCTTTGAACGCCGTAACCGTGCCTGACCACTTCCCCATACCCACGGCGGACGAGCTTTTTGATTAACTCGGAAGGGCGAGGGTGTTTAGCAAATTGGATCTGCGCTCGGGGTATCATCAAGTGCGGATGTACGACAAGGACATATATAAAACTGCTTTCCGTACGCACGAGGGGCATTATGAATTTTTGGTGATGCCTTTCGGCCTAACCAATGCACCTTCCACCTTCTAGGCGTGCATGAACTGGTTGTTCGCTCCGCACTTGCGCCGGTTTATTATCGTTTTCTTTGACGACATCCTCATCTACAGCACCACCATCGAAGAACATGGCCGCCATCTTCAACAAGTTTTTGTGTTGCTCCAGAAACACTGTTTCTTTGTGAAGCAATCCAAGTGCACGTTCTGCACCGAAAAAGTGGAGTATCTTGGGCACATCGTGACCGGCGGCGTCCTCCAGGCGGATCCGTCTAAGGTTGAGGCGATGGAGCGGTGGCCTCAACCGAAGACACTACGGCAGTTGCGAGGTTTTCTAGGCCTCACGGGGTATTACAGACGGTTTGTGCAACACTATGCCCAAATTGCTTCACCACTCACCGACTTGCTCAAGAAGGACGCATTTGCGTGGACGGACAGGGCAACCCAGGCCTTCACAAAGCTTAAAGAGACGATGTCCAGCGCCCCTGTCCTTCGCCTACCAGATTTTGAGGAGTTGTTCGTGGTAGAGACAAATGCGTCAGGGACGGGTATTGGGGCGGTTTTATTACAACGAGAACAGCCCGTGGCGTATTTTAGTAAAAAGTTGAACCAAAGGAGATTGACGGCCTCTACGTACCACAAAGAATTGTACGCTATAGTGGAGTCGGTGCAAAAATGGCGGAAATATTTGCTCGGACGGGAATTTCTCATCCGCACAGACCACAAGAGCCTAAGGGAGTTGTTACAACAAGTGATTCAGACACCGGACCAACACTTTTATATCCGGAAATTATTGGGGTTCCGTTTCAAAATCGAGTACAAGAAGGGGGCAGCAAATAGAGTGGCAGACGCACTATCCAAGATACATGAAGACCACCTGGACGGGCATGAGCTGCTAACCATAACACAGCCCATTCCCACGTTACTGGCCGAGCTTCAGCGAGAGAACCAAACACAAGAGGATCTACTCAGCCGCCACAACGAGCATCAACGTGGGGAGCTGCCTGAACCCTACTCAGTGGTGGACGGGCTGCTTTATTATCGCTGGAGGGTCTGTGTAAGCTCTATCTCACCACTACGGACAACACTAATCAAGGAGCACCATGACACCCCTATGGCCGGGCACCCGGGAGTGCAACGGACGTTCCTAAGGTTGGCGCAAAGCTTCTACTGGCCGCGCATGCGGGCCGATGTCCGAGAATATATTCGGGCTTGTTATGTATGCCAAACTACCAAATATTCGACCCAACCTCCAGCCGGACTACTACAACCATTACCGGTGCCGACTCAAGTGTGGGAAGATGTTGCCATGGATTTCATCGTGGGATTGCCACCATCTCGGGGGTATACGGTCATATTAGTGGTGGTGGATCGCCTAACTAAAGTAGCACACCTCGGAGCACTGCCAACCGGGTTTGATGCGCACAGGACTGCTCACCTCTTCATCGACATTGTGGTGAAACTCCATGGCTTTCCAAAAACTATCATCTCCGATCGTGATAGAATTTTCTTGAGCAATTTCTGGCAGGAGGCTCTTAAGGCGAGTGGCACCACCCTCAAGTTAAGTACTGCGTTTCACCCACAGACTGATGGCCAGACGGAAGTGACGAACCGGGCGGTAGAGCAGTACGTACGCGCTTTTGTGCAGGAGAAACCGGCAAGATGGACGGTATTGCTACCTTGGGCCGAGTATGCATTAAAAACTAGCGTTCACTCGGGGCTGGGGGTGACGCCGTTCGAAGCCCTCTATGGAAGACCACCGCCTACCTTTCTACCTTATCGTCCAGGGGAGAGCAAAGTTCCAGAAGTTGATCATGTGTTAAAGGAAAGGGATTCCATGCTACGCAGACTCCGGGAACATTTGCGAGCCGCTCAACAGAGGATGATTGAAGCGGCCAATTGACACCGGCGAGAGGTCCAATTCGAGGTGGGGGCATTGGTGCTGCTTAAATTACAACCATACAAGCAGCACTCCGTCGCACGACGGAAGTCCCAAAAGTTGGCGCATACATCCGGTCTTCCATGTAGCCCTCTTACGGCCCTTCTATGGGGATGTGATCGGGGTGAAGTCCTTGACACTGCCCGATGAGTTCGTGCAAGGGCAGCCACTCTCTACACCGGTACGGCTTCTTGCTAGTCGACAGGTGCTTCAAAAAGGGAAGCCAGTCCAACAATATTTGGTCGAGTGGTCCGACGGGTCACGGGACGACGCCACATGGGAACCCGCCGAGGTGCTGGAGCAACATTTCCCACATCTCCACCTTGAGGACAAGGTGATTCCTCAAGGGGTGGAGAGTGATACACCCAATGACGGCAGCAAAGGGGAGGAGCAGACTCCAGTCGTGAACGACGAAGGCAGGCTTGCATGGGACAACGAGGAGGCACCAGGGACAACAACGGAAGGGGACGACGAGGAGACGACAGGAGCGGAGAGCTACAGGAGGGGACGTCGAGTCCGAATGGCCCCGGCATGGCAAAAGGATTATTTACTTAATTAATTTACATTTATCATTATTTACATTTATTTTTATTCGTGTAATAGTTTTTTTTAGGTGAGCGAAATAAGCTCCTTCGAGGGTTTCTTTACGGTTCTTTGCCTCGTCGCTTTTTTTTTGAACCGTCAGGGTAGAAAACGTAGTAATTAGGAATTAATTGGAATTAGGGTTTCTCTAAAGTACTATTTATTGATGTAATCATTGGTTGGAAGGAGGAAGAGGAAAAACCCTAAAAACCCTACTCTTCTCTTGGTGTGCGGCTACTGCCGAATCCCTTTCTCTTTCTCTTCTCTCATCTCTTTTCTGGAGCTTGAAGACGCTCGAAGTCTTCTTACCCGATACACATCTGTATCAGTTTCCTCGCCGGGAGTTTATGCAAACTAAAGAACATCACTGTCCAAGTGTTCCGCGCTTAAAGTTTATGCTCATAACCAAGGCCTTAGAAGATTTGTTTTCACTTATTAATTGGGACTCGATTTTTTTTTCATTTTTTTTATTTTCTTGAAAAAAACAATTAATCTATTGGTCGAGAGGTGCATGTATGGGTTAGCTAATTTATTTTGAGATTTAGATGGCCGTATTCAGGGGTTTGATCTCCGTACTCTAATTCTTTCCATACACAACTTCATTTTCTCTTGGGATCTCTTACTTAAGGGGTCAAAGGTGTCATACCACCCATGCCAATTAGATTGGTCATTTCTCAGATAAGTCCCTTACTCACTTTTGAAATTTGGCCTACACTCCAAGATCACAATATTCCTAGCTTGAGCAGATTTTAATGAACAAACTAAAGAACATCACTGTCCAACTCAAACATTATTTGTCAACTCAAACTAAAGAACATTGTCCAAGTGTTTTGTCCTTAAAGTTTATGCACATAACCAAGGCCTTAGAAGATTTTTTCACTTATTAATTGGGACTTTGGAATTTTTTTTCATTTTTTTATTTGCTTGAAAAAAAACAATTAATATCTTGGTTCAGAAGTGCATGTAGGGGTTAGCTGATTTATTTTGAGATTTAGATGGCCCTATTCAAGAGTTTGTTCTCCGTACTCTAATTCTTCCCATACACAACTTCATTTCCTTTTGCCATTTGTTTCTTAAGTGGTCAAAGATGTCATACCACCCATGCCAATTAGATTGGTCATTTCTTAGCTAAGTCCCTTACTCACTTTAGAAATTTAGCCTTTACCCCAAGACCACAACATTCTTAGCTTGAACAGATTTTAATGACAAGAGAGGCTTGGAAAAGAGGAACTCAACCCCGCTCATCCTAAACTATATCCAATAAAAAAATGTTTTCCAAAAATTTGGTTCATGGATCAACCAATTCATTCCCTTCTGTTAAGTCACCCCTACCCCAATGCTCAATCAGATTTGACTCATTTCAGTGTACCTTCAAACTAAATATAGTTAGAACTTGGTTTTCAATCATTCAACTGATCCCCAACACATAGCTTAACTGCTTAAAGGTATGAAGAATGACTAAATCACTTAGGCCTAATTGCTGAAAAACTGATATATATTTTTTAAAATGTTTTTGTGACCTTCAAGTGTGCTTAACCAGTATGAGTTCAAATTAGGTAAAGCTGATCTCATTTGTATGTTCAACCCCTTATGTTCCTTATGTAGAAAACGTAGCTCCATATCGAAAAAGTCATTAGAGTAGGAAAAAAAGAAACTTGAAAGCTTACCAAAATTCAGCCTTTGAAAATAATTCAATCTATAACAGAGAAATAAGGAGTACATTAAGTATCAAAAAGTAGGGTTTGAAAGGACTCCCTCTACACCAAGTTACCAATTTTAAGGCCTCTTTAAAAGCTTATGAATCTAGAACACTTGTAACTAAATATTATAATGGAAACAAAACAGTGATAAAAGAAAATGAGAAAATAAATATCGGTTGCCTCCCCAGTCAGTTGCCCAATTTAATTTCTTTCGCTTGACACTGTTGAGGTGAGATCTAAACTTCTTCCAAAATTACCTCTTCAATTAATCCCACAACAGCCCCTTCATGGAACAGTTTCAGTTTGTGCCCATTTACTTTGAGAGTTTTGTTTGTTTTAGGACTATAGATTTCTACAGTCCCATGTGGGTGTGTTTTAAACACTTCAAAGGGGCATAACAATATAGACCTCAGTTTCCCAGCAAAAAGGTGAAGCCTAGACTTGCATAAGAGAACCTTATCCCCTTTTTTAAATTCTTTTCTGGTTAATCTAGCATCATGAAAAGCTTTAGCCTTTCCTTTATAAATCACAAAATTATCATAGGCCTCTAACCTAAGTTGTTCTAGCTCACTTAATTGCAGTTTTTTTTTTCAAGACTAGCCAAGGTGGTTTCCAAATTTATCTTTTTAATAGCCCAAAATGACTTATGTTCAAGCTCTACTAGAAGATGACATGCTCTACCAAAAACCACTCTATACGGTGACATGCCTAAAGGGGTCTTATAAGTTGTTATGTAGGCCCAAAGTGTTTAATCTAACCTATCACTCAAGTCCTTCCTCTCAGGTCTTATTATCTTTTGTAGAATTCCTTTTATTTCTTTATTTAAAATTTCAGCCTGCCCATTAGTCCGGCGATGGTAACCTGTGGAGACTCTTTGAGAAATATGGTTCTGTGAGCGTAAAGCGGTCATAAATTTATTGAAAAAATGGATTCTTCTATCATGTATGAAGGCTTTGGGGAATCCATACCTACTCCAAATTAGAGATTGGATTTGCTTAACAGTTTTCGCGTCATATCTTTTAGTATATAGAGCTTATACCCATACATCTGAATAATCTACTCGAAACCCTTAGAGAAGGAAAAGGCCCCATGATGTCCATTCCCCATACGTAAAAAATTTCACAAACATATATTGGTGTCAAAGGCATTTGATCCCTTTTAGTTATCCCCTAATATTTTTGGCATTCTAGACAATTTTGACAAAAACAAAGGGCATCCTTACGGAGATTTGGGCAGTAAAAACCACTTGTCAACACTTTTTAAGCTATTCTCTTAGGTCCAGGTGTCTACCACCTTCGAAGGTGTGGTAGAATCTTAAAACAGAATCAACCTCTGAATACTCTAGAAATCTTCTTATGACTTGATCAGGGTACATTTTCCAAAGGTATGGGTCATCCCAAATATAAGTTCCCTTTCTGCCCTAGGCATATTAGGGGGGAAACACTCCGGTGTGTTAGCCATGTGTGCATCAATTATCCTTTGGCGGAGGCCATGTGGGCCAAATCACAATCGAATGTCGCGGGCGCTTGTCTGCTAAATGTACTATAAGGTTAGGGTAATGCCTCTTCAAACACCAATTAGTTTTAGAAGAGTTAGTAGTGCCTGAGGTCATACAACTCTACAAGTGGTATCGAAGCCAAGGTCACGAGTTCGATTCCCAATGGGAGCAATTGTTGAGGGGCAGATTGTTGGTCATGTGTGCATCAATTATCCTGTACCTGAGGCAATGTGGGCCAAGACCCTATCAAATGTCGTGGGCTCTTGTGTGCTGAATGTACTATAAGGCTAAGGTATGCACCTCTTCTAACACAGATTGATTTTAGAAAAGTTGGTAGCGCCTGATGTACACTATGACCATGTAGTTTACTATTTCAAAGAACCAAGGGGAAATAATACTACGGAGTAAGAGCTAATATCCCTTCATCTGGAAAACTATCAGTTAAAGGATTGTAATTTTTCCTATCATTCTCTAGTCTACCCAAATTAACCTACCTACCCTATAATTCTCTAGTCTATAGGATTTAACCCTACCTACCCTATCAAATAATTAGCTTTTGTTTATAATCTTCCTTGTTCATTAAGTACTTAACTGCAGTGTGATCAGTGAACACTATTACTTTAGTGCCTAGCAAATAAGCCTTAAAATTTTCTAGCCCAAAGACTTATGCAAAGAGTTCTTTTTCTCCCAGGGGAAGTTCATTGGGGATGACAGAGTCTTTTTCATAACATTTATCTATGCTCACAATGACCCAAAAAAGAGGAAACATTCGTGGGAGTTCCTGCAGAAATCTGTTACCACTTCAGCTTGGTGTGTTCTTGGTGACTTTAACACAGTTCTCCATTTGGATGAAAGAATAGGTGGTAATGCTGTTAGCAGGGAAGAGTTACAAGAATTCCAAGATTGTCTGAATCACTGTGGACTGGATGACCTGCCTTTCGAAGGACCTAAGCTCACCTGGACCAACAATCAGGGTATTGGGAAAAGAATATACTCTAAGCTTGATAGAGTATTAGGGAATATGGACTGGTTAATAAAGTTTGATATGAAGGTACAATTCTTTGAGGGGGGAATCTCTGACCATTCTCCAATGGTACTTAAATTCATCAATCAGAGAAAGCCATCCCACAGTTTCAAATTCTGTGAAATGTGGACACTAGATCCTGCCTTCCCTAGGATTGTAGCTGAGGTTTGGGATAAGGAACATGGTGGCCATTCTATGTATCAAATCATCCAAAAACTGAAGCAACTAAAGGATCCGTTGAGGCAACTAAACAGGAGGAAATACAAGTCTTTGGATAATCAAATAGATGAACTTAGATCAAAGCTACATACTCTCCAAGAAAGACTGAAGCAGAATGATTCCAACACTAAAGACCTGGAGATGGAAAAGGATCTAAAGAAAGAACTACATAATATGTTGAGAGCCAATTTCCTC